CATTGTTGATGATGTTACTGGACACGATCAATGCTTCCGAGTAAATCGCACCCGCCGTGCCTGCCTTGATGAGTAAGCAAAGACGAACGGCAGGAACAAACACCGTATCAACGTTTTGGTAGTGATTGGTGGAGAAATATCAACCTGCAGATCTTGTATTACCCAGCGTGGACAATGCTTCAGCTCCACGAAGTGGTTGCTGGAAACCAGGTGACTAACTATCCCATTCCAATGTATTCCATTGACTTCAACCATAGGAGGCGAAAAGTTTTCATTGGTAACAGATCGTCCTTGTTGCCTCGCGGGTGAACGGCCTTACAACTCGACTACTGCCTCCTGCTGCAGCATAAAAGTCCTTGAAGTTCATGGAATCAGACGAGATGTGGTGACATTTAAATACCCAAGACTTAAGGCGGTAGTCTCCACTGCGCTAAGCTGTTCCAACTGACTTAAAAGGAGCAAGAATTGGCACCTCTCTCATGCATTCACAATTTTTGACCTTTCTTTAAAAGGGAACTGTCAATGATTACGTTGAAGCTGCAGCGGATTGAAATGGACTATGTGAAATCAATTGAGAGGGAGGAATAAGAGAAGAGAGGTGGATTTATAAATAAATAAATAAGTCCGAAAGGTTCCTTTAGTGCTAAATAAGTGAAGTAAATCTTCTCAAGTGCAGCCAACACCATGGGAACAAAGATGAAATATTGGCAGCCTTAAAATCGGAAAATTGGCAGTGGAGCAAGTAAGCGGGCTAAATGGCGATGCATAATTTCGAATGCCGAACCGTGCTTATCATTTGTCAGTCGTCGATCAATGAAAGGTTGCCACGTCTTGATAAGAAGCACAAAAGAAATGAAGGTCAGCAAGCACCTGACTTCAAAAGCTAGTTTTCAGTTGCAAGTGGATGCCACGTCGAACTTAGACCCAGTACTCTTGTGCAGTGTCAATTAACCCCTTAACTCACGATAAATTTCTGCATTGTCGCATACTTTATAGGCGATACGCTCTGATGCACTCCACTCCATCTTCTCCACTGCTCTCACTATAAACGGGATGGATTTGTTCTTTTTAGAAGAAGATCAGTTGCATCTACCAGATTCGAATGACGACTCTTAGTAAAAAGGTTCAAAACGGAGCTCAGCAGAAGAACCATTATACTGTTCAAATAGTTGTGGCACACAAAATATGTTAGAAATAGATACAGTTAATCAATCCACTACAGCTGTGTTGATTTGACGAGCTATGCCAAAATTTTGAGAAGGCGTTTAAGGCCAATCCATGCTCTGCGCGCCATTGTAACGGGGACCAGGTCCAAAGAGAAGCCTTGCCTTGTTAACAGTGCCATCTTTGACGGTGGTAGCCCATCCATGCTAGTTGTCACGGCAACGGTGAGTTGTTCACGCGCTGCATCCACCCAGCCATCCGTCCGATAGATGCCAAAGAAAATCAGCAGTGCTACTCATAGTGAAATGAGTAGACAACAGCCAATCGTCTACACGGGCAGGAGTGAGACGATGTTTACTATCAAAGGGCAAGGCTGACAAGTATTCTGAGGCAGAAAGCTTGAGGCATACAATGCACCGTCACTACTCTCCTCCTTGTTCTTTGAGCATTGGCAATGAGACAAGCTATCCACTACAGCAGTCCCTCCTGTGTATGGAACGATGGCTCCAGTTTGACTCAAGCACCGGTTACAGCTCTTCTCTTCCCCAATCATCCATCAACTACACATTCGTCCAGTAGAAATGGAGAAAAGATGGCCACGATGGTAAAAAAATGGAGCGAGAGACTTAAGTTGAAGGGCGTGCTATCGCACCCACAACACAGGCTTTGCCTTTTCACAAACAGAACAAATACCTGCTTAGCCAATAGAGAATTGTATTTTTGAAAGATTTGCTAATGCGAGTGCGCGCAAACACGCGCGCGCATACAAACACAGACAGAGCTGAGTGAAATTGTGACCACCATGGCAACACGTCTCACGTCGATGTTGTCATTCCTCATTTGTTGTGTGCGTGTATGAGATAATGAGAAAAGGGGAAGGAAGGAATTTTAAACCATTCATAGCTATTGCTGCTGCTGTCACCGCTAGTGCGCCAGTTGGATAGTGCAAAGGAGGGGAAAGAGGAGTGGTACAAACAGGAAAAAATAGGGATGATGAGTCCTGTGTCCATCCACCCATCCTTCCAATAGGTGTGGAAGAGAAGCGGACGAAAGAGGTAGGTATGTAGGTGAGTGTATTGCAGAGCCGATTTGCCCCAAAAATTCCCAAAGTCAATAAATACACACATGCTTGGGAGGGAAAATTTACACATCCACTCAACAGTCGATGAGTGGCTGGTAAGAGAGCCAAAGAAAAGGGGTAAATGCATTCAGGTTAAGAGACGGAAGGGAAGAGAAAAGTGAAAGGAGGAATGCAGCAGGCTAAGATGAGGACGACGGTACTGTTGTAGTGGCGGTCGTCATGGGATCGACTGAGCTCGTGCCATTGGAAGAGGACACAGCAGCAGTGGCGACGGAGCTGGGAGCAACAACGCCTAGAGGTACGGTGGGGTCGTTCACTTTGGATTCAGGTTTTCCAACCGGAATCTGCTGGGACACATCAATTGACGGTCCATTTAGTAGCATTGAGGAGACAACTGACAGCTTGGAAGTAGTGTTGGCGACGGTTGCAGGCGGCCGAGGAATGCGACCAGTCTGCGTAAAGTAGGTGGCTCCACCTGCTCCGCTGCCGCTATTGAACATGTGTTGCTGCTGCTGTTGATGCTGTTGTTGGTGATAGATTGGAGGTATGGGCTGCACTCTGGCATTGAGAGTGGAGGAGGATAATTGATAGGTAGCCGGTGTATCATCCAGATCGGCATAACAGATGGTCATCTGTTGAATCACTTTTTCGGAGGCCAGCGGCTCCCAGCAATAATAAGTTCCTTGCTCCGAAGTACCCTCTCGAATTACATCACTTCCAGGGACACGAGTGAGCCACCGCATCTTCTTCTTATGATACCGCCACTCTCGGTTGTACCTGCAATCAAAAATTAAACATCACAGTTATCTCTGCTTTTACGCCTTACCAGATTACACCTTTCAAAAGCATCGAGCATAAAGTGGAAACGTAACAAAGTATTTTACGTAGACAACATTGGAGGGTCAGAACTCACAGCCCCTTAGCGGCAACCAACTGAACCTCCTCTCTGCAGCAGTTGTAGAATATCCAAAAGAGGATTTCATCGGTGAGGTTTTCCAGCGGAGGATCGGAAGGAAGACGACCAGCGATTCGACTGCGAATTTGGTACTCTGGAGGCACGTTGTAGTCCATGTCCTGAGGTCGTAACATGCATTGATCGGTCAAGGGAGAAGCAAAAACGCTATGCAGTTCTCTGAAAACGAGGTAAAGAGATTTAAAACTCGTCTGCACCACGGAGAATCACTACAAGATGAACAAATTTAACAACATAGCTACCATGATCAAACAATAAAATAAAAGAATGGCCTACAAACTAGAAGCTAATCCTCGATCGTGTGCATCCAAACGCCATATGGTGCAAGACTTTTCGCTACATGACAAATAAGTGATGAAAGTCGAGAATGACAACTTCATGAAAGAACAAGACATAGGAAAATGGCACAATTAAAACGCAACTAGATTGCAGTTCCACGGGCTTCAACCGAAACTTCGATTGGGCCAGTTGAAAACGAATTTTCAGCAGATCAAAAGGGAGAGCAGTTTCCCAGTCAACAGTAAACCTATTTACTAGCCAGACCTAAAGAGGCATAGAAATGGCAAGTAAAGGATGCGTTTCTTTTGAGATTTTCAGGCTAAATGGGTTAGAATTTTACTATGAGAAGTCACAAACTAAATTAGTCACACTAAAGAATAAGGAGTTTTAAAAATATTTTAGGATGAAATTACAGTTCACTAAATAAGAAGTTATAGAGCACTCAGTTTCAAGGTGATTAGCCGAATGCAAAACCGACACTTAAATGTGCAGCAAGTGCCGTCACCTCAAGCACCCACAACCTGGCAAGTTTTTCTACTGGAAATTGGATAGTCAGGCCATATCGAGGTCAACACAATCGCGAACCACTATCAGAAATCTAGTTTAGAATTGACGATAATTACCCGCAAATAGACAGAAGGAATTTCAGAAAAATCAAATTGAGGATAAAACAAATTATCGTTGCAAAACATAAAATAGAAATGATTACCCGGATGGGGGCCAGTTGACAATGCCCAAGGAAGCCAAATTTAGTCCGGGAGCGAGAGTTTCGAAAGAGGGATCGATTTGGATTAGCTTAAGCAGACCAATCATCCCAAACTGGTTGTCAATCATGTTCTTGGGAATGTTGGTGACATAGTTATCACCCAGCAACTGCAGGGACCCGCTGGGGTTCGCTCCACCAACCGACAAACTACTGCTCTGAGAGCGCTGTACTCGCTGAGCCGCCTGACTCTTCAGCAGTGCCTCGCCAGACGAGGCGTTAAGTGATTGGCTTGACATAGGAATGGTAACAGAGGGTAATGCAGTGGGGACTACAGAGGAAGGAGACGAAGCGCTAGCATTCGGCCCACCAATACCACCAGCCGCACTGACAGCAACGGAGTTCGATGAACTTTGAGCAACTGGCAAAGCGGGAAAGTCCCTGTCTATAGAAAATTCCGGTGAGGCCTGAATGTTAGACGTCGAGAAGGACGCCTGATTGGAAACAGCGCCAATACTACCACCACCGCTTAGAGGAGTTGCTCCACTATTGCCACCGCCTTTCGCAATAACTGAAACATAGTTCCGACTTTGAGAGCTGCCAGCAATGTTTTGGTTTTGCGATTGGTTCACAGAGTTTATAATAGGGGGAAAGTCGGAGGGATCAAATGCGAGACCAGGGGAAGAGACGCCTGGGTTCATGAGATTGGTGGTGGTGTTCACAGAACCACCCAGCAATCCCATGCCCGCGACAGACTTGCTCTGACCCATAAATGGTGGTTTGGAGTTGTTCACAAGGCCAGACATAAGCGAGGAGATCTCGGAATTCACCGCATGATTCATGCTTCCCATTCCAGTGAGCAAAGAAGGCTCGGAAATACCGCGTTGTGGTGCACCAGGGAAGTTTGAACCGGTTCCATAGGGGAGAAAGTTCAAGGCAACGTTGTCCATACCAGAATCCTGATTGTAAGTATTCCGCATGTTGGCGACATTCGAGCTAAGCCCTTTTAGTCGAGTTGAAGATGAAGGACGTGGAGCATAGTTGAGTCCGATGCTCCCACCTAGACCGCCTAATGACGAGGAGCCACCCGCGTTACTCAGGAGAGACTATAACAGCGGAAATGCAAGCGTGGAGTTGCAAGAAAATAATGAGTATGGTGTAACCAATGCAAATAACATAAAGTGGTGACGTACCCTTTTATCAACACTTTGTTGGAAGGAGGAAGAGTTCTTATGCGTGTCGTTTTGCATGGTTCTGCCCATCCCTAATCTGATTGCGTAAAAAACAAGAAAATCAAAACATACTGGGCTGCACTATTCCACGAGGATGGATGATCAAAGGTATTTCGTCTAAAACATTTAAGCCAAAGAAGGCAGCTTACGGTCCGATACCGGCCATACGATGCAAGCATGTGTTTGAAAGTATCCTTTACCTTCGATTTTTACCAATATCGAGGAGCAAAGTGGATTGAAATTGAGGGCAACCTAAAGATTAGTAGGAGGAAAAGAAATTTTTCAGAAAGGACACTATGACAAACCATTACACGAGACATAACCACAGAAGAAAAGGAAACCAGGAACCGTACACATACCACTAAATTCTCCTATGTCCTTTGTTTAAATACTTAGTAAGTTAAAACTAGCTTGACCTGAGGCCATTATTGACTTATTTAATAATTACTTATGACAACAAAAAATAGAGTATCCAGTGCATTTTTTTAATTTATGGCAT